TTTTTCAAAAATTTGACCCTTCAGGCATTTTTTCTGGGCTGGCCAAGGAATTATCAAAATGTTGAAAATTCCGAGACTCATTCCAAACTTTCCATCTTTTGATGACGATCATAAGACTATACAGATACCGCTCTTCAAACTTCAAGAAATTTGTGGCGGCGATTTTAGATTGTCACTGTAACCTTAACACTTTGACACACAGACACGTGTTATATGGACTCCCGTAATGTACGTGATGTGGTCTTATCATAAAACTGACCATTTCATGAAGTAATCGAGCATTCTATGAAATGGTCACATTTCATCAAATGCTCGCTGAGGAATTATCAAATAAAAAAATTTGCCCGCCGCAATTGTCAAAATGGCTAAAATGCAATGTCGAGTCATCATTGAGTGTATTCGAAAGGTTTACGGGGCGAGGAGATTTACGCGCACATCAAGGATTTTGAGATGACTGCCCTGAATATGCCACTGATATTTCCCCAGGACTATCGTCCCATCAGCCTACTGTCTGCTCCGTCTAAGCTCGTTGAGAAGGTGATTCTACGTCACCTTGCGAATTTCTCGTCAGATCACCATGTGATTCCTGACCTGCAATTTGGATTTCGGTCTGAGCATAGTACGAAGTTACAGGCGGTTAGGCTTGTGGAGCGAGTAACCCTGAAGGGTGAACCCTTAACTGGATGTCTCGAAGGCATTGGCAAGGTGTGGCACAAGGGCCTTCTCTATAAACTAATTCAAAAGGGCTTTCCATTTTGGCTCCTAAAACTTCCTTGAAGGTAGGAAATTACGCATCAAAATTAATAATTTTTTGTCGACAGTACGGCCCGTCAGAGCCTCACTTTTCACGCATGATGTCCCTTGCCCTAGCGACTGTGAAGTCTATCTATATGCTGATGACACTGCACTGGTGGCCCAGTCGCGTACCGGTAAGCGGGTTCACGACAGGTTACAAAGTGTGGTGGATGAGGTATTGGAATCGGCAGATCGGTGGCTAATCAAAATTAATTACTCGAAAACGCAGGCTATCTATTGTACTAAAAAACGTATTAAAAAACGTAGCGGCGCCCCGCCTGAGATTTCAGTGAATGGATCTCGCATACCATGGGGAAAATCTGCAGTATCGCGGTGTCACTCTTGACAGGGAGATGACCTGGCAGAATAACACTGAAGCGTTAACAAACTAAATTCCAAATTACGTTTCGGCAACTCTACCCTTTGCTATGTAGAACCTCAAAATTAAGTTTGGTCAACAAAGTTCGGCTATACAGGATGGATATCAGACCAGTAATCACTTACGCATGTGCAGCATGGTGTTTTCTTGTCAATACGCAGATGCGTAATCTGCAGGTTTTGCAGAACAGAACCTTGCGAACGATCACTAACGCACCATGGTATGTCTCCAGCGAGACCCTTCACAGGAACCTCTACATCCCTTTCCTAAGGGACTATGTCAAACATCAGGCGCGATTACGTTATAGTCAAGCGGAATAGTACAGCAATCAAAATCAAATCGTGCAATTCTAGGTCCAACCAAAATTACGATTTTTGCCACACACAAATTCCTAAATTAATTTTTGGATTAATTTAAAGTAACCGAATACCAGTTAACAATAGCAAGACATCCCTTTAACCGGCGCACTTCACCCTCTTTGCTCTTCCCCCTTCCTTCCTTTCTTTCTTCTTCCTATGGGGACCTCGGTTGGCCGCGTGGGTCAGAGTGTCGTGCTACTGATCAGCCGGCCGGCCGGGCCGCGAGTTCGAATCTCGCCTTCGCCATGGATGTTGTGTGTTTGTTTTAGGCAGCAGCGGTGGCCGCAGTAGTAGACTCTTCGGTCTCCTGATCAGCCGCCGTGCGCTGTGCGGGTTCGAGTCCCGTCCCAGGAGAAATGTTTCTCTTGGCCATGGATGTTGTGATTGTCCGTAGGTGGTAGATGGTCTCTGACTGTCGAACGCGGAGGTACCACCCGGCGGTTCTCGTAGGCGGAGCCAGAATGTGTGCATGTTGCATGCACACGTGTTCCCTCGCCAGAGTCCGTGTGGCGTCCCGCCTTTCCCATGTATCCCCCATAGCCCCACGGTACCCAATGGGTGCTTAGGCCTTAGGCCTTCGTGGTAGTTGGAGTATATTCCTTTCTTTCTCCCTGACTTAGTCCGGTAGCTGGGCAACCAGACCTGACTGACCTACTGTCCTACGATACTTTAACAAAGAGCGAATGTCCCACGGACCGCTCTGACGGACAATGACGAATAGAAACATGGGGTTGCTTACTTCAAAACGGGAAAGTTATTTGAGGTGATTGGTTGATGAGAGACCTGGAAGACCCCATTCCGTGTCAACCTCTGAAAATGTCGATGCAGTTCATGATTTGATATCATCAAACCGCCGAATTGGAATAAAACGTTTGCATATGAAAGACAATTCTACAAGATGGATTCCCAATTCCCCGAGCGCGAGTCAGAAGCAAGCTGGAGTGGAAACATCGCTCCGATTCGAAAAAGAACCCGAACCTTTTGAACAGTCTGGGATTAAGCTTCTACGATCCTGAAACAAATGACAATCGATGAAATGGAAATACTGTGACTAGCAGACTACAGAAATTATATGTGCAAGAGTCTGCTGGCAAGTGCTTGCTTGAGCGTTGTGGTATCTTAGTGGTGTCATTTTCACCGATTACCTAGACAAGGGAAAAACCATAACGGGAGAATGTTATGCCGCATTGTTGTAATTTGGGTTTCGAATTGATAAAACACCCTTCTTGACCATCTAACTTGGCACCTTCTGATTATTGCCTGATTCGGAAGCTGTAAGTAGGTTTGAAAGGTCGCAAGTTTTCGTCGAATTACAAGGTGATAGAAGCTGTAGCAAGCTAGTTTGCGAACCAAGAGCAAACATCTGTTTCCAAAGGTTAGAAGCTCCACAAGAGCGATGTAAAAGGTACGTTGGTTAAAAGGGGATTATGTTGAATAATAAAATACTTCGGTAAAAAATTTTCGGTGTTTCTGTAATTGGATAAGGATATATCAATATTTCTTCGTACGTTTTGGACACGCCATATTCATAGATATAAATCGAATCCAAGCGAATTTCCAAATGAAACCGGTATTTACCATTCTGGATTGGTATTTACTGATCGTTCAAGCGAGCGTGGTTATCAGTTTGATTATAAGATCCGTGACGTCACCAATTAGCTATTATATGTCATAGTTATCACCGTAAAATTGTGGTATTGACCCAACTCGGGAGCAGTTTCATATTTCTGGTTACTATTTGAAATGTGACAAGTTAGAATTTTGGCGAGTATTGGATATTTTCATCGTACTTGTGAGGTTATGTGCGCGTTTAAAAGAGCAATTCGCTATTAAATTGAAAATAATATGGAGCAATTTCATCTAACTTTAAACTATGAAGGCGTAGACTACGAGGTCTGTGTTAAAGACTTAGAAACGACCAATTTACTTTTGAATGGTAACTATACAGGGTTATCCAAATTAAGTGTCCACCATTAGTAACTTTGTTATTAGTGAAAATACAAAGTTGTTTGAATTAGCAAACTAGTAGCATTTTTAACGCTGGTAAAAATGAGAAATAAAAAAAAACAATTGAGAGTCGTTATTTTGATTTTTTTCAGTAAAATAACATTTTTTTAAATGGAAACCCCTGTATATTATATTTTTTTCTGTTAATGCATCAAATTTTAAACAAAAAAGCTTACAATAACTTTTCTCCTAGGTTACAAATTGTTGAAGTTATGGCCTCCAATGTGAAACAATTAAATTGTATCGACAAACTTTATTTTCAACATCAACTTATAATCTTACAAAATACAATAACAATTTTTTTTAAAGAAGATGCTCGAAAACACCACCTTGTTCTTCAATACATTTTTGGGCACGTTTTTCAACTGCTCGAACTGTCTTAAGTATGGTCCTACCATCTATCTGGGTTATCTTTTCCCTAACTGCAGTCTTTAACGCGTCAAGGTTATCGTACCTTCGCTTGTAAATTTGGTTCTTTAAGTAACCCCACAAGAAGTAATCAAGTGGGTTTAGATCTGATTTGTTCCTATCCACTGATCATTAAAAGTAGTACTTAGAAAATGATAAGTACCTCTGGAGTTGTGGGCAGGTGCGCCATCTTGCTGAAAATGCAGATGATGTCTACTTATAAGATCCAATTCGTCTAAGAAATTAGTCAGAATTTCTGACATAAATTCCACATATCTTTCACCAGTTAGGGTTCCCTCATAAAAGAACGGGCCAACAATTTTTGAACCAATTATACCGCACCAAACGTTGAAACCGAAAAGGACTTGTGGGCCTCTTGGATGTACTAACAAAAGATTTTCTCTTGACCAATAATGGTGGTTTTTTCTATTAAACATTCCAGAATTTGAAAAATTTGATTCATCTGTCCATAAAAGGTAACGATACCAATGGCAAAAAACAAGTCTTCTCTCTGGATCCCCTGCCAAAAGCGTTTGAACTGGTCGGTACTTATACGGAATAAATTTGTATTTTTTAAAATCCTTTGAACAGTACCATAACTGTAATTAGAGTCCTTGAGAATATCTGCTATTGAATTCTCACGATAAGCTTCAAAATATCCAATAACTGCAATTTCCGTGGCCTCGCTTATCATGAATTCTTTTTTTGCCCTTGTTTTAGCAAAAACATTTTCGTTGCCCCTAAATTTTCGATAAAGTCTCAGAAAATATCGTTCATACGGTTGAATGCGAGCGGGATATAATTCACTGTAGTATTCTCTTGCTCTCAAGGAGGATTTCCTGCACACTAAATAGCATTCTAACATATCACACTTTTCTTCATGGGAGAACATTTTTCTTTAAATTAATGACACAATAAAGCTTATAAACAAGTATTTACACTAATGTTTGACATTATTTGATTTTATCATTGTTTTCCAAAGCCTTCTAGTTGCGAGTATGTCCAGTTTAACAATTTGTCGCTTATCTTAATGCTGTCAAATCGCGAACGCCATGTTGTTTTCATAGCCGTCTTAATATTATAATACTGCAAATAATTAAAAATATTTATCGTTATTTTGACTTTATTTTTGACTTTAGCGGAAAAGTCATTATGAACTTTTTTGTTTAAAATTTGATGCTTTAACAGAAAAAAATATAATATATAGGGGTTTCCATTTAAAAAAATGTTATTTTACTGAAAAAAATCAAAATAACGACTCTCAATTGTTTTTTTTTATTTCTCATTTTTACCAGCGTTAAAAATGCTACTAGTTTGCTAATTTAAACAACTTTGTATTTTTACTAATAACAAAGTTACCAATGGTGGACACTTAATTTGGATAACCCTGTATAGTATGATAAGCAAAGAATAGTATATTGTGTACCTTGTAGAAAAAGCCTGATATTTCTGGGTTATTTAAATATTGAAGAGGTGAGGTGCAAGGTAAAACTGACCCTATTGATTCTAGATACCTACATGTTATGTGACTTTTTCTACATGGTATGCACACATTCACTAATAAACTCTGTATCGGAACTGGTTACCCCTTATACTTCGCTTTAAGGCTTATCAGGTATGTGAGTGGCATATTTTTTATATTTTAATAGCTTTGGCATGAAATTTTAGATGCTGCTGCTGCAGAGCAATATATTTTATCTATGTGTCCATTGGGGTCTCAGCATGAGCACAATGACTCCGAAAATCAACCTCAGAATGATTTTCAATCTATGCGGTCTGTGCCCCACAATGAAAATGACTCGACCACTCAACCAACAATTAATGATATGATTTGGACAAAAAAGAAGTCTTCTGAAATGGATAACGAAGCAACTCATTTAATGTTGTCCTTAAGAGAAAAAAAAAAGTAGTTACTTTGACGACAAAAAAACTAAAAAACTTAAATTGTGGAATGACATAGCAAAAGAGTTAGAGGAAAATATCTTGGGAGCAGAGAAGGAGAGCGGTGTCGTCAAAGGTTTGAGAATTTGCAAAAAACCTATTTATCTCACATTAAACATCAAACTACAACAGGAAGTGAGTGAAATGATGACATTCTTCCTTTATTTTTTGAAGAGCTCCACTCCATTCTAGGTTAGTATAATATCTTCTATTACTTTCACATTACTATCTTTAGCAAGCATGTAGTATTGTTATTGTATGTCATGGCTATATTTTAATTTTTCTTTTGTCATGTTTGTAATTATAAAAATTCTGGTATGAACCAACAAAAAACCAAAATAATTTTTAGGATGCAAGCATAAGGTAACCCCATTAAATCTAGAGGATTCAATGGATGTTGATGAAAGTACATCAGGAAGTGTGAAAAATGAAATAGAAGAGCAACAACCAGACCATACAGATTCAGAGAGACCATCAACATCAACACCAGTTAGCCGATTTAAAAAAAACTCGAAGGGTAACACCTTCTCAGCCTCATGACTTGATAAGAGATATGGAAAAAGATAGAAAGATAAGAAGTGAAGAATTTAGCTTTTGGAAAGAACATTTGAAGAAAACAGAACAACAAAAGGACAGGTTCTTAAAAATTGTTGAGGCAGCTTTTGGGACAAAAAAAAGAAGGAGTGACGCAAACGATTCTGACACTGACTAGGATTATTATTGATAAATATTTATTTCTTTTGGTTTTTATTTGAGATTTTTAAATTGTTTAATACATAGTTGCTTGTTCTAGTATTTTATTTTTATTCACGGAAGACATTGCCAAACTAACCTTGTGTGTAGAATAATTAAGTAAAACTGGAGGTAGAGATACATAAATTAAAATGAAAAACAATAATTGTGTGTTTTTTATTCAAATTAAATTGAAAAATAGTACAATAATATTATTCTATGTTATATCTGCGTTACCCCTATCTTCTAGTTCAGCCTGATTTATATTTCTGTCTAGGTCAATTCCAAAAAAATCTTTACTCCAGGTGTCTTTACGCAAAATGCAAATATTGTGTAAAACACATGCAGCTTTTACAATCTCCACTGCTTTGCAAATGTTATAGGTATTTATATATTGCACCCTTTTCCACCTACCCTTATATGCCCCAAAGCAATGTTCAATTTTTACTCTGTCGGAACTGAGGCAGTATTTGTGAAATTTTTGCTTTGTGGTCAAATTGTCGCCTCGTTAAGGAATAATAAGCCAAGTTTTTAATGCAAATGCACTACCACCAATTAGGTGATATTTCTGAGCATCCAAAAAGTAGAAGTTTGGTCCATGTCTCTCAATGCTTTTGCAAATAATTGAATTTTCAAAAACCTGAAATTAAATTAAAGCATAAAAATATTAAAAAATATGAATGCTTTCCTATAATGTGTTGTATACCAAAAATTAACTGGTGTGAAGCTTTTTCAATTCCTCTTAAATACTACTTTGAAGTTTTATTTGCAATATAATAAAGAAGTAATAAATATTCACTTCAAAATCGTACTAAATACCTATTTGTCTCTAAGACATGAATGACTAGGCCTTACGTGAAGGGGAAACCACCAAGGAAAAGGAAATTGACCGGTTTCTAGGGAAATATACAGAGAAAATCTGGGGAAATATAAAGTGACAAAAGAGAAATAACTGTGTGAAATGCAGGGGGCGGTATCACCCTAGGGTTGCACTATTCCGAAATATTTACTTACCTGGATACTTCTTGAAACCGAAACCTTCACTAATGTCTCTCATTTCAGCGTCATTTTTGGGAAGCTTGATACAGGCTTATTTTAGTTTTAGCATGATTTATTTGCTTTACTCATTACTGTTGTTGGGGAGACTTTGAATCTAGTTCCTATGCTGAACAAAGTATCCTGTATAGCCATATACCACAAGAATATTAAAATATGGCCATGTAAACTCACTGGATAGTGACCACCTGTATATGGCTTTGCTAGTATCTTCTTTTCATCGCTTTTTCCTATCATTTCTGCTAAATCAATAAATGCTTTCTTTGACATACGGAAAAGTTTAAATAACTGGAAGTTCTCATAGCTACAAATCCATGGTTCCGCTATTAAAATTTTGTGCGTCATATCCTTTATATTCACGACAAACTTGTTTGAGCATAAGAGCGATTTTCTCAAGTGATTCAACACATGAACAATATGTTCTGAGAAAAGAAACATTTCTCCAACTGATATTATGAAAGTTTTATTTTTTAAACTTTCCATAGGTATCACTGTTGTAGTCGCGCCGAATATTAAGTGACAATAAAAATAATCAGAAATTATATGCGCGCTTTTCTAAAATAAACAACTTGCAACAAAACCGCGGTTAAAACCAACGCGTTCAAGCGATTCGAGTAACTGACGTCATCAACCCGTGTGTACTATAACCACGGTACATAACACAGAAATTTTGGTTGTTCGCTTGGATTTGATTATAGACAGGTAGATTGTTATCAGTTGAACGTTCTAAGTAAACCTATTACCTGAAAATAAAAAAGTTTTAGTTGTATGTCTTGGAACTAAAATGACCGACATAATTTGTTACCTCGTATAGTGATGATGAATTTTCGTTCTTACCGACGGGGCAAGTTACTTAAAACTGGAACACCCAAAGACATGATTCCGGAATCAGCTTGTCTGATTGGTGAAAGAGATACATAAACATAATTCGTCGTAATTATTGTTGCAGATACTAATAAAAAATGGCGAATGATTCACTAGTCATTATGTAATTTTTTACCTTTAAATCAAAAGTAGTGTAATTAATTACAACGATCCATAGCAACCGGCGACTAAAAACTGTAACTCATCCGATAAATATCAACCAGAAAATAATATAGGAACAGAAAAAATGCACCGTTACCCATTTAATATGTGTGAACTGAAAGTTAATAGTGAATTAAGTTGTGAAGTTCCTTCCTAGTCAGGGGCGTACCAAAAATGTCGTTCATTTTAAATTGTGAAACATCATGAACTTATTTCCTATTATCTCAAGAGCAATGATGACACTCTATATCACGTAGTGTTCAACTCTGTGTTTGCGCAAAGATTCGGTTTTGATTTTGACCAGCTTAGGGACAATTTCTCAGATATCCGCCTGATTTTTCCATCAAATCATCAGTGAGACACGTTTTTACAGTTGAGCTAAAATTGCCAAGTCACACGTCAATTTGGTGATATTTACATAAGATTTGATATAAACGCAGACACGTGTTTGTTAAAATTTGTTTTTTCACATTGGTATAGCACGTTGATAAAGGAGTTTTTCCGTAACAATGCCTGGAAGTTTACAAACCAAGCAAAGCTGTATCATATTCTGCCATTTATTAAATCTTTAGTCAAGTATGCATAATAATAAAAGGGGAGATAAGCCTTTTATTATTTGAGTAAAAGGTATAGACTAAAATTTACAGAATCCGTCCTGAGAAATACATTAAGTTATACACAGTTTATTTTCACTATGTTCGAATAAGCCACAATCAAATAATGAACAAACTACGGACGTACTTACGGACGCTTAAAGAGCTGAAATTAGAATATGATTAGTGGTAAATGCATAAGATCGATAAATTAATTATGGAAGAAATTTCATCACGGTCCAAAGAATTGCACCAATTTATGCGTAAAGTTGCACAGGTGAAGGGGTCTCCTAGTTTCAAGTCATACGAACTCTTTGATTTTGTATGACATATGATCATACTTTCTAATTCCGTATGCCAGCATCTATTTTGAACCGCTTGTATTTTGTTAAGTCAAACACAGCCTATAAGTAAAGCAACAATAGTTGAAATGGCTAGGCAGCAAGGTCTCGCACAATATTTTCCTATGTCTTTTACTTAGAACATGTCGATTGCTATACATGATTTTTGGAGAACTGAAAAACGCAGACTTTGAATAGTAGTTAAACCTAAGTTACGAGCAGAATCTTAGCAAAAAAGCACCTCATTTGGTATTTATGGTTTATTGGTGTTATTACTTAGAACGTGCATGCACAAGTCAATGTGATTAACTATTAGTAGCAAGAAGAAAATAAATGACATACAATGCATAGAAAAACAAACACTACAGATCACACACACATACACATATATTGTTATGATAGTGATAATAAAAAGTATAAAGTATAACACTATAATAAACTACGTCCAATCAATAAATAAATGGCATGCGAGATAAAACTATAATAAACATGGTGCGAATAAAAAGGAAAAAAAGAAAATATAGCATGAAATGTCATAACTATTGAGTATCCGTGAAGAAGTTGTGGTTGAGGAACTCGTCAATTTTGAAAAAAGATGTCGACAAGAGCAAATTTTCCACAGCATTACTGATTTCTTTGTATTCTAGAGATCTTAGTTCCTTAGGTAAAATATTACAAACTTTTGTGACATGGTAGTTAACTACATTTCTCGTTTTATCAAGTCTATGTTGCTTTGGGTACCAGTTGTCGCTGTGTCGGATGTTACCTATATGAATGAGTTTCATGGTGGCTTGTATGAAAGTAGGATTTGATTTAAAATATAAGAGGCAGCTTAGCATATATGCATCAGGTAATCTCATGACCTTTAGGTTGATTAGCTCAGCTCTGTAGAGATTCTATATTTTTGGATACATCTTCTCCATAGGGCAAACATTCTGTACATGGGGGGAGTGAGACCCCATGCCAGAATGGCGTATGTCATTTTGCTTCCTTAAAATTGTCTAGTTTCTGGGTTACCAGACTTACAGACTGACACTGTGACTTAAGAGCTAAGGTCCCACGGACCGCTCTAACAACCAACCATGACTTGTTATTTTGCTATGGAACTACGCATGGTAATTGGTTTAGTAAAACTGAGTGTTTTAAATTGCGAATTAAATAAATTATTATTGTCAAGAACTTCACAACGTTTGCGTAGTCACCATTCTGATTATTTTTTCGAAGTGCGATTGTGATGGATTGAGATTTGATTGAATTTAATGTTGATAAACCAATCCTAAATGCTTAATATACTGGCTGTAAATATGGTGTCATCATCATTAAGAATGAGCTTTCTGCTCATACTATTAGAGAGATAATTTGGTAGGTCGTTTATATAGAGCAAGAATAGCAAAGGGCCTAGGACAGATCCTTGTGGCACACCATGCAAAACTGGGTTAACTATCGATGTACAACCGTTGTATTCGACGAGGTGTTGCCTTTGCTCTAAATAGGATTTTACGAGAACTACAGCAGAAGGATCAATTGAGTAATACGGTAACTTTGATACAAGTATATCATGTTATACACAGTGCTTATTTTCAAAACCATCGTGTGGTCTCAATAAAACTGTTTATTGCAGTAATGGTTGATAAGGCATATTGATAAGAATTTAGGAAAATGTTGGTTTCGAGACAATTGCTCAGTTGGTTCTTCAGTAGAATTTAAAAAAAATGTTAGCAAAGTAAGGTACCAGTGATTATAGGATGGTGGTTCTAAACTTCGCTAACTAATCCGTTATATTATATTGGAATTACCCTGGATATTTTTGGAGTGGTGGGGAAAGTATTTGATTTGGAACATATATGTATAACAAGGGCCCAAGTATAGACCATTGTGGCACCCCTGACAGGATACCTATGCTGTCCGAACAAGAACCAGCTCTGGTTCCCCCTACATATCAAAAACAGTGAGGAATCTGTGAAACCATAGAACTTGAGTTTTGAACAGCAGAATGTATGACTAATGGTATCAAACATCTTGGAGAACACAAGAACGCTAGACAAACTTTGATCATACGCCATTAAAATATCCGTAGGATCCGTAGCCAGTGATTCTTGACCATTCTTTTTGAAAAGCGTACAACCAGTAAGTAATGTATCTAAATCTAGAGAAAAACACTATCTATTTGGTTGTTTTTGTGTCTGTGATTATTTATATTAGATGATGACTTTATTCAA